ATTCTTTACAGAATTGACAAGCTGATTCTAAAATTAATATGGAAGCGAGAGACTCAATAGTTAAAGCAATCTTGGAGAAGAAAAACAAAGTCTGAAAACTCACACTTCCCAATTTCAAAACTTATTACAAGGTCACAACAAACAAGACAGTGTGGTACTGGTATAAGTTTAAAATATAGATGAACATAATAGAATGAGAATCCAGAAATATACCCACACATTTATAGTCAAATGAGTTTCAGAATGCCAAGAATGCCAAAACAATTCATAAGAAAAAAATAGTCTTTCCAATACACTGTGCTGGGCCATCTAAACCTCTACTTATGAAATAATAAAGGAAGGCCCCTATCTCACACCATATACAAAAAATAATTCAAAATGGATCCAAGACCTATATGTAAGAGCAAAAATTATAAAACTCTCCAAGGAAAACATGAGTAAATCCTCGTCAACTTGGCCTAGGCAATGGTTTCTTAGATATGAAACCAGAAGCACCAGCAGCAAAAGAAAAAATAGACAAGTGGGACTTCATAAGAATTTTAAATTTTTGTCCTTCAAACAATATTATCTAGAAGGTGAAAAGATAATCCACAGAATGGGAGAAAATTTCGTAAGTCATATATCTGATAAGGACTTGTATCCAGAATATATAAAGAACTCTTATACCTCAATGATAAAAAAGACAAATAACCTAATTTTAAAATGGGCAAAGGATTTGGACAGATATTTCTCTAAAGAAGATAAATAAATGGCCAATTAACACAAAAAGATGCAAAACATCATTAGCCCTCAGGGAAATGCCAACCAAAAACCACAATGAGATAATCACTTCATAACAACTAGGTTGGATATAATCATAAAGACAGATAACAAGAAGTGTTGGTGAGAATGTGAAGAAACTGGAACACTTTACACCACTGATGGGGATGTAAAAGAGAACATCCCCTAAGAAAAAACAGTCTGGGAGTTCCTCAAAGAGTTAAACATAGTATTACCATTTGACCCTGTAATTCCACTCTTAGGGATATATCCAAGAGAAATAGAAATACTTCCATACAACAGTAGTATTTATAATATCCAAAATGTGGAAATAACCCAAATGTCCATCAACTGACAATGTATAAATAAAATGTGATAAATGTACATAACGGAATATTATTTGGTAATAAAAAATGAGGTAGTGATACATGTTACACTGAAAACAGTATGCTAAGTGAAAGAAGACAGTCACAAAGGGCCATATAGTGTATGATTCCATTTATGTGAAATATCCGGAAGAGGTAAATCTATAGAGAGAACGTAGATTAGTTAGTTATTGCCTAGAGTGAACAAGGGTGGGGGTGGGGAGGATAAGAAATTGACTGCTAATGGGTTTGCAGTTTCTTTTAGGGTAAATTTTTTACTGTGATGATAGTTGCACAACTCTGAATATACTAAATACCACTGAATTATACACTATTTTAAATGGGTGAATTGTATGACATATAAATTATGTCTCAATAAAGCTGTTTTTTTTTAAAAATCAGAGCTGGCCCCAAAATGGAAAATGATACCTCACTGGAAATAATGTTAAGCAAAGGCAAATAGCCTTCTATTGGAGATAATACTGTAAAAGATGGATTCAATCAGTGGTTCCCAATAGCAGTTTATGGACTAATACATAAAAATCATCCAGGGAGTTTCATGACTTTTTGGCTCCCTAAAGCATCTAATTCAGTATGTCCAGTGGGGTCCAAACATCTGTATTTTTAATAGGCTTCCTAAATTATTCCAATGTATAGCCAGAAGTGGGAACAACTGACCCACTAAGATCCTAACTCAATAATTTTATGATTCTCTAGTATCTATGAGATCTAGATCTGGTATCTATCTAGCATTGTCCATTCATCTGAGAATCTCAAAATTCTTAATGGAATTCACCTTCCTGAATGAAGAGTTTGAGTTTAGAAAGAAGGAGCTTCATCTGATGGATCAGAACACCTCATATATTTTTATTAACCTTATGTGTATCCTTTATTTAAGCTACTCCAAATCATTTCTTGGAACAAAATAAATTTAAATAAATTAAACAATTATAACTCAATAATTAATTAATCAATTAATTTTTTAAAATAAATTAAACAACTAAAAGATCACATATAGTATCTAAAACTATTATTTCTCAAACTAAGATACAATGGAAAGCCCATCTTTTTCTTCAAATATTTATAGTTTAATAGGCTTTTATAGAAAACATAGATATACTGTATAATCAAATACAAAACTTTCATGAATTTTTAAGATAAAACCAGAAACTTCAAGGAAATTCCATACTTGCCACAGGAACTACTTTGGACTACACTTGTAGATTCTAAGGGTACATATTCATTCCCTTCCCCAGCTAGTACTTCAGTGGAAAAATCCAAGAAGTCTAGGCATTCTGTTTTCCACTCCATGGGTGATAAAATATGTAATCCCCTTCATTCAGAACAGTATATAGACTAATCAGGTTATTAGTGACTATGCTGTGTGTACTTCAAGAAGGAAGGGAAAAATCTGAACTAAATCTATGAACTAAATCATAACCTGTTAACAGTTGAATAGAGTCCTTCAGAGGCAAACTGTGCTCAGAGAAATGTCTGATGACGATCAGGTCTTGCAGTTCACCCTGTCCTAGTGTTTTAGCCAGATGACAACGAACATCGAGGGTTCCCTCCAGGCTATGCAGACCTCATCCAGCTAGTGGAGGCTGTACCCTGGTTGCTTATCTAGGCTTGCTCAGCCCACTGGTCCATGAAGAAGCACTGGGTAGCCTGCCTGAGGTCTTAGATCAACTATAGCTAAAGGGAAGGTGTTCCTCTATATTTATAATCTCTCTTTTAGATATGGTGCTTTGGTATTTTGGCTGCTCTTTTTCAGCTAATTTCTCAGAAACATTTGTGATAACTTCACTCAGGGACTAAATATCAGAAGAGTAGAGTTATAATATCAACTCTAACACAATTATATAAATCTAGGTCAATTTCCTCAATACTAAAACAGAAAAGTAGAATCAGATGAACCATAAGGTCTTTTCTAGCTTTTAAAGTGTATGCTCTCATAAAAAAAAAAGTTTCTTCTTTATAGCACAGGGAACTATATTCAATATCTTGTAGTAATCTTTAATGAAAAAGAATATGAAAATGAATATATGTATGTATATGCATGACTGGGTCATTGTGCTGTATGCCAGAAATTGACACATTGCAACTGATTATACAATAAGAAAAAAGTCTATGCTCTCACATAAATCAATAGATAAATAAATAAATATACTCTCATAATACCTGTCAATATTGAAGATGTGTCTTGCAAATTTTAAGGGCAATTCCAAAAAAGAAATTATAAACATATATTTCTTATCCCTTCCATCACAGTGTTGTGTGTGTTCCCTCTTGCATCATCTTAGCTCAAAGTTCCTTCTTTCCCATCTAGATTTTTACAGCAATCCTCAGTTCTGGTCCCCAATTTCTTCTTAACCTATTATACTGACTACATACACTGCTGTTAGATGACTCTCAAAGTATCATTTCCTTCAATGGCTCTTAACCTAGCATTCAATGTACTCCACAATCTTACCCCAATTTATCTTTCTAACCTTTTCTAGCTCTTCTTCATAGTAATTTACTCTTCAGGAAACCTGTCAGTACCTCCTTCTACAATATATTATACATATTTGTTTATGTCAGTCCCCTTGTTGAAATACTCTCAGCCATACTCCCCACTTCTGTTCCACTCTTTGCGTATGAATACACTACAAAGTCACTTCTGACAATCTTCTTGAAACTTCTGGAGCACTCAGCCTCTAACATTTCTTTGGCATTTAGCATGTGCTATCCTGCACTGGGCAGATTTAACACAGGACAGGTCTATAGGGGTATTTCTGCCTTGTTTTCTCCAGGTAAGACTTTCAGCTTCAATATGGGGTGAATTTGTAACATAAAGCATCTAAAGGGACCATCTTTAAACAACATTTAAAAAAAACAATCAACCAAAGTAACAGTTTACGTGTAATTATTAAAAGTTTTGCAACAAAACCATCCTACTCTTTCTAACCATATTTTTACAGCTGTGTTCCCAAATTTAAGATAATTCTTTAGATTTGGGTTAATACTTCCTGTCTAATACTTCCCTTTTAAAAAAGGGAGGGGAGGCAACATTTCAAAGCAAGTCCTCAAACTTCTAATTAGAAAACTTTGATGAGACAAAAAAAATGCCCAAACAAACAAAACTAAGAACATAGTTTTTGAACAATATTAAAATCTCTTATAGCATAGACTTCACAGCAAAATCGAACATGAGAAGGGAAAGAAAGAGACATTTCGTCTGGTCAGACCTTTTAAACAGAACAGCACATGTTTTTCTCTACCAGCCATTCAAACACAATTTTTATATAAACCGCATGTGCTCTGACAAGTACCATCACCCTTCTCTCGGCTTTAAATCCAGAAACATTCTACTTCAACTACGAACTTTTGGGTCTTACTCAATAAAGGACACTTAATCTGGTCTTTACCCTTCTGATAATAATACTGAGATAATGCAGATACAAGTCCAAATTTGCCACTTTCACTTCTATACAAAAAAAGGCCTCTTGAAGAGCCAAGAAAACATTCCCCTAAAAAGTCCTGTGATGAAGTGTTAGTAAACATTAGAGAATTGATTGCAGGCATGAAATATTAAGTTAAAACAAAGAGAATGTTTTCAACATGTCTCTTTAAACTGAAGTAAAAATATTTTAACCAATATGCTAGAGACTTTCATTAATTCAAAATAGCCTGAAAGTAAAACTGCAAGGGAAAAAAAACTCTATAAACTATTTTGGCACACAAAGAGTTGTACTTATTTCACAGGGCAGAGAAAAAAGGGGTGGAAAAAAAATCCATATGCTTGGCAAACTTATCTGTTAAGCAACTGTCAAAAGCTAACTTTATTTTCCTTTCAACAAATGAAGATCGTCCAAACGCGCCTGCAGTACTCACATGCAGAGCCGAGGGGTCTGGCAGGAACTCAGCATCTTCTCCAAAGATAAAATCAGGAGGCAGTTCTGGGTACTGGGCATTGAAAATGATATCCCCTGAAATAAAAGAAAATGTCAGGCCCTTCTTATTTCCTTGCTAATATATGAATAATCTGAGGAGTACATCAGAAAAACTTCTAAAAGAAGTTTATGTTAGTTTAACAAAAAGTTCAAAAAGCACTTTCTGAATGATTAATTCTTCAAACAAAAGAACTGATATCTTCTTTTAAATTAACATCCACAACATGCAATCAAAAAGTGTTATCTTCGAATACACGATAAATATAAGTATCCAAGTAGAAAAGTAGACACAACAAAATCCAAAGTACACGCAGCTTTTTACAATAGGAAGCATTACTGTCCACTCACTGCCTGCTAATTAATAAGCCTTTATCAAGGACTAGGTCTCTAAAGATACAGCCCTTGTCTCGAAGAAATTAAACAGACCGACCTTCGGTATAATGAAAAGAATGTTTGGCTGGGGGTCCAAAAAGTCAGGTTTATATCCAAGAGATCCCCTATTTATTTATTAGCTCAAGTCACGTTGGGCAAGTTTTAACTTCCTTAGAGTTCAGTTTCTTCATCAGGAAAAAGGAGATATAACAGTACTGACATCACAGCTTTGTTGTGAGGATAAAAAGAGGCAGCATGCCAGAAAGGTGTCTGGCGAATTGTAAGCACTCAGGAGGTCATACAGAGTACTGCTGTTGTTATTACTGGCATTATACTGAAGCATAAGACAAATTACAAAAGCTCCTTAGCACATTTGTGCTATAAATTCTTCTACCTCTCTGTTCTCCTCCTTTCTCCCTCTTTAGCTCCCTTTTACGTCCTCTGCTCACCCCAAGACTCGGTCTTCATCATTCTGCTAATACCAATAGGCAGACTAGTATATCCACAGTCTAACACACATATGGGGCTCTGGCGTATGAGTGTGTAAACTTGTACACACGCACACGTCTGCACCCATACACACACCATAGTGTTATATCAGTCCAATCATTTCTACTGCTCAAATAATATCTTCATAGTGACATCCAAATTTAAACATTCAGACTGCAGTTCTCATTTGAGCCTTTGTATCACTATGTACTATGTATTTCAGTTTCAAACACAGCAAGTCTAAAAACATTCTCGTGATTGTCCCTTTTCTCACTCCTCTCTTCCCCTGACTGACCTCCCTTTATCTAGGGAAGGCACTGCTATCCCTTAGTCACCCATGCTGAAACTTTAATGTCATCTTTGACCTTACCCGTACTCTTTACACTCATGAAACAAGTCATCTCAATTTTTCCTCCAAAGTGTTTCTCACATGAATACTTCCTGCTGTGATCAGCTCAACTCAGGCCCCGCTTAGACCATACACTGATGCATCCAAAGAAGAAAAAAAAAATTTTAATGGAGGTGCTGGGGATTGAACCCAGGACCTCATGCATGCTAAGCTTGCACTCTACCACCAAGCTATTTCCCTCCCTACAAAGAACAAATATTTGAACTCTGCTCTAGGCACTGTTAGGCATGAAAAATCAAACAAAGAACTCTGTTCTTAAAGAGTACAACAGACTAGAAGAATTATTACCATACCCTCTTAACTGGTCTCCCAATACCAGTCTCCCTCTAGCCCATAATACAAACTATCATGAAGTAAATCTTCTAAAGTACTGCTTTGCCCCAAAACATCCTAGCTCAAAAAGTTTAAATGGTTCTCTAATGTCAAATGGAGTAAAAGTAAACTTTTCAAATTGGTATGTAAGGCCTCCAAAATACAGTGTTGCTGCTCATTGACCCACCCTTCTTTCTATCTACAAGCCGATACCAATTTTCTATTCCAGTCAATACAATCAGCTCGCTGACCTCCAAACTATGACACCTAGCTGAAATGCTCTTTCCCCTTGCTCAATTCTTACCTATCCTTTATGAGCCCTCTTACTTACTTATTTCTCTTGCATGAAGCCTTGCCTAATAAATCCAGTACACACTGATCATTGTTACTTTTGAAATTTAACAATACTGATTGTTTATGCCATTCACTGAGCATTTAACTGTAGTCTTATATTGGTTTTGTTTTTCCATTAATTTTTAAAATTCCTAATAAACTCATGGTACAAGAGAGGCACTGTGATACACACCATGTCAATACAAAGGCAGTTATCCTCAAGGAGCTTACATTTAGTGAGGGAGACAGAATTTATACACAGAACCACTAACACACAGCAGTACAAAGTAAGTACATATTCCTGAGCTTCCCAAATACCTTGTAAACATTCAGAGAATAAGCGTGCTCTCTTAGCTATTTCATGTCTCTGACAGGGCAAAGTACAATACATATAGAATATATTCAAGAAATGCTCAACATATGAAAGAAATTCTCTGAACTGGATATCGAACTACTGGTAAAATCTATGGTAAAGAATAAAGTATGAAGAGTTACTTCCATCACTTTCTGTAGGGAAAAAATATGAGCAATAAAATATACCCTTCAGAAGTTGGGTGTGGAATTAAATTACCAAAACAGTATAATCACTACCTCTCCTTCACCCTACTCACTATCATCATCTCTGGTTTTCAACTATGTCTGCTACAGTTTACTAACTTTTTTCAAATGTACTAACTATAAACCATTAACCCAAGCCAAGACTAAGAGGTGCTAGCAAAGACAATATGAATGTCCTGATTACTCATTCTTATTCAACTATACCCAGCATGCACAATTCCTCAGGAGAATATTTACATTAAAGATGTGTTTTTTAAAGTCTTACAGTTGACTTACTTTAGTGAGTTTTAGAAAAAAAATTCCTAAGTTAATAGAACAGAGGCATTCAAGTTTTGGAAAAAGCCAAGATAGAAACTATTGTGCCTTGATCAAAAATTAATAGCATGCTAAATTCCAATAGAAGAAATTTTATTACTTTGTTACTACTAAAGGAGGACACAAAGCTGGATTTTCAATTTCTCAAAGGAGCATTGTCAGTAATACATATTTCCAAACCACTAAACATTAGAAATCTGATCCAAGGATATCCACTCTTGCCAATTCTATTCAACATTGTACAGGAGGTTCTAGCCAGGGCAATTAGGCAAGAAAAAGAAATGAATGGCATCTAGATTGGAAAGAAAAAGTAAACTTATCTCTATTCACAGATGACATGATCTTGCATATAGAAAACCCTAAGGAATTCACACACACACAAAAATTCTATGAGAATTAATAAACAAGTTTCACAAGGTTGCAAGACACAAGAGAGATGTACAAAATCAACTGCTTTTCTATACACTACCAATGAACAATTCAAACATGAAGTTAAGAAAACAATTTAATTTACAACAACACCAAAAGAATAAAATACTTAGAAATAAACTTAGTAAGAGAAGTTTTAAGACTTGCACGGTGAAAACTACAAAACATTATTGAAAGACATTAAAGAAGGCCTACATATATGGGAAGACATCTCACGTTCATAGATCAGTAGACTTAATATTGTTAAAATGGCAATACTACTGAAATTAATCTACAGATTTCATGCAATCCCTGCTGGCTTTTTTGGCAGAAACTGACAAACCAATCCTAAAAGTTACATGGAAATGCAAGGGGTCCAGCATGGCCAAAAAGTAATCCTGACAAAGAGCAAAGCTGAAAGACTCAAACTTCCCAATTTCAAAACTTATCACAAAGCCACAGTCATTGAGACAGTGTGGTACTGAAACAAGGACAGACATACAGATCAATGAAATAGAATTCAGAGTCTGGAAATAAACTTTCATATTTATAGTCAACTGATTTTTGGCAAGGGTGCCAAGATAATTCAAAGCAGCAAAGAAGAGTTTTTCATCATTACACATCCATTAGGAAGACTACTAAAAAAGACAGAAAGAGACCAAAACAAGTGTTGGCGAGGCTGTGGAGAAATTGGAACCCCCGTGCACCACTGGTGGGAATATAAAAGAATGCAGCTGCTATGGAAAGCAATGTGGCAGTACCTCAAACATTTAAAAATAGAATTACCTTATGATCCAGCAATTACACTCTCGGTATATACTCAAAAGAAGTGAAATCAGTGTTAGCGTCTCAAAGAAATATTTTTATACCCAGATTCACAGCAGTATTATTCACAATGGACTAATGGAAACTAACCAAGTGTCTGCTGACAGATGAATGGATAAACAAAATGTAGTATACATATACAATGGAATAATAATCAGCTTTAAAAAAGGACATTCTGACACATGGTATAATAGGGATGAACCTTGAGGACATTATGGTAATATAAGCCAGACATAAGAAGACAAATACTGTACAAGTTCACTTATATGAGGTATGCAGAGTAGTCAAATTCATCGAGGCAGAAAGGAGATTGGTGGTTGGCAGGAGCTGGGGGAAGGGAGTAATGGGGAGTTGTTGTTTAATGGGTACAGAATTTCAGTTTCACAAGATGAAAAGAGCTATGGAGATTGCACAATATAAATGTAGTTAACATTACTGAAATGTGTATACTTAAAAACTATTAAGACAGTAAATTTTGTGTTATTTTACACAATTTAAAAAACTTCAAGTAAAAGAGTCTGCTATAGACTGAATGTTTGTGTTCCTTTAAAATTCATGTTGATAACTAATCCCCAGTGTGATGGTATTTTGAGGTGGGCTTTTGGTAGGTGATTAAGTCGTAAGGGCAGAGCCCTCATGAATGGGATTAGTGCCCTCATAAAAGAAACCCAAGAGAACCCCTTTGCCCGCTTCTGCCATGTGAGGTTACAATGAAAAGGCAGACTGTCTATGAATCAGGAAGAAGACCCTACCCACTGAACCTGCCAGCACTTTGATTCAGAGTTCCCAGCCTCCAAAACTGTGAGAAATAAATATTTGTTGTTTTAGCCACCCAGTGTATGGTAATTTGTTACAGCAGCCTGAAGAGACTAAGAGTCTTTCCAACAAATAGTGCTAGGACAATCAGAGAGCCACATGCAAAAGAACGAACTTGAGTCCCAACTCATACCATATACAAAAATTAACTCAAAATGGATCAAAGACCTAAGTATAAGAACAAAAGTATAAAAATCTT